CCATTTCCATTTCCTGGTGACTCCAACATTTTTCTCTTGCAGATCAGATATCTTCTTTCCTGGGGCAGCTCCTCTCATCTTCCCCTCTGAATATTGCTCCTGATTGGTTTCTTGAAGCTCTACTTCTGCAGATTGGTTCCATGTATTTGAGTACTCTGGTTTCCGGAACCCATTCATCCCAGTTTTTATTCCAACCACTATAATATATCAAGTATTTGACTTGTTTGTCCTTTATCGCAACCTTTACACACTTTGTTTCATAAAGAAGAAGCCCATGAAAGCACAGCACAGGTTCGCCTTGCCGGAATTCAGGCTTCGGCGCCATGTATAAGTGATTCTCCACCGCCTCCTCCTCCCGCCCCACGCGAGTACTGCCCCTTACTCTCCACCACACCTAACTCAGGTCCTGCGCGCAGTCAGGGGCTGCCAGTTTGTCATCCTGGGCCCCATCAGTATTGTTTTTCACTCTGATTTTTAAATAGAGTCTACAGACCGTTCACTCCTTTATTTCTATATCCAAAATGACTTGCAATGCCTTTAGTTGTTGGCTGCCACAAGAGTTTTTATGGGTCCACTCTCGCTCAATTGGAGAGTGCCTAGCGATTGAGCTGCCTGAGGCATGACTTCTGTTCCACGTTGTTTAGGGGCAGCTAATTTGTTTCAAATCAGTTATATACTTTAAAAAATTTTAAATTCATTATTTAAAAACTTTAAAGTGTAGCACACATACAGAAAAGGGAAAAAATCAAAATTGTAAATGCAACAAATTATCACAAAAGGAATACACCCTTGTAACCTCCACTCGGGTCAAGAAATAGAGTATTACCAGCATCCCAGAAGCTACACCCCCCCCCCAACACATATCCTCCTAATCATTATTGCCCCCCAATATAAGAGCAATATGCTTTCAAAAATATTTTAAAAAATTATTGACTGTCTGTAGTAGTGTGTTGATCCTAGGTCCCTTGACTCAATTTCAAATTCAATTAAAAAAATCTCTCAAGTTTATTTTTTTTAAATTCTTTTATGTTTTGTGTGTGCGGAAGATTAGCCCTGAGCTAACATCCGATGCTAATCCTTCTCTTTTTGCTGAGGAAGATTGGCTCTGGGCTAACGTCCATGCCCATCTTCCTCTATTTTATTTGGGACAGGGCCACAGCATGGCTTGACACGCGGTGCATCCGTGCGCGCCCGGGATCTGAACCTGCGAACCCCGAGCCGCCGCAGCGGAGCACGCACACTTAACCACTAGGCTACTGGGCTGGCCCCATAAAGTTTATTTATTTATTTATTTATTTATTTATTTATTTTTTCCCCCAAAGCCCCAGTAGATAGTTGTATGTCATAGTTGCACATCCTTCTAGTTGCTGTATGTGGGACACGGCCTCAGCATGGCCGGAGAAGTGGTACATCGGTGCGCGCCCGGGATCCGAACCCGGGCTGCCAGCAGCGGAGCGCGCGCACTTAACCGCTAAGCCACCGGGCCGGCCCCTAAAGTTTATTTTTTAAATTAAGTTCTTCCTTGATATCCTAAAAGTGTTGTGCATATGAGGCAACAAACTTTGGCTTTCCAGATTTTTTACAAGAACCCTGATTTATCTTTGGCTTCTATGTTCATTCCTAACATTTTTCTACTAAAAGTTAAAAGATATCGTTTGTCTTTGTAGTTTGGGAGAATAAGTCTATCTGAATGAAGTAGGATTATGACTTTAATTGACTCCTATTGTATGAAAATAAAGTGTATAACAACTGAAAGTATCCATTAATTGAATAATAGATGTCCTAGGTCCTTGCTACTCCAAGTGTTATTTGTGGGTCAGCAGCATCCACCATCACAGGGGAGCTTGTTGGAAATGTAGAATCACAGGCCCTGGACCTACTGAATCAAAATCTGCATTATGGCAAGATGTCCAAGTAATACAGAGGTTTGAGAAAAATACCACTGGAATTTCTGTAGGTACATAGCTCCACTATTCAATTGTTTTGACTTCTTTTTCCTCCAAATAAATTGTGTGCTTTAAGGAAAACCCACAGCTGGAGTATGAAGGAAGGGCAAAGACCTTGGCGGCAGTAGGAGGGTTACTGGACACACTAAGGTGGTGCCTCCCTTTGGCTAAAGAAGCACTTTCCCTTTTGTCCTCTTTCCCTCTTAAAGCCTTCCCTTCCTTGGCATGTGTAGAATGTTAATACTGATCATCATATGAATGAATGGTAACAAATCAATACTCTTTTCTCTTGCTTTCTCTCTTACAGTTTTTCACTTTCTCAAATTAACGAATTTTTTGCAGAAATCATGTTTTGGGGATTTATGTATTTAGTGTTTTTTTGGGAAAAAAGGTAGAATTTAAAAAATTGTAGATGGTCTCATACTTGACATAGTATAGGAAATTAGAGTATCTGCATTTTGCCTCGTTTCAGACAATGTTTAATATTTATATTTCCTTTGAAAAAGTTTGTGTTATGTAAAATGCCTGAAAACAAAAATCATTTTCTCCGTTTCTAATTTTTACCCTGAAACTCTCTATTCCTTCAATATTCTCTCAAATTATATCAGATTCTCCAGAGACATCAATTATTTTGGGAGGCAATGCCTACTCCTAGGGAAATAATAATGATCAATCCAAATAGGATTAAATTACCTCTCAACTCAGAGAAAGTGAGAGGAAAAACAAAGGAAAGCTTTCTTTAAAGAACACCAGCTAATAAATGTAGAAGGAATGAAAGAATGAGAGTTACACAATCTTGTAACTCCCAGTGCAACAGCTGATTCAGGCAAAGCAAGAATCATTAATTGATGTTAAATCAATGAGATGAAAGATCATTGGGTGCATTAGCTACCTATTCTGGTGTAACAAACTACCCCAACAATTAGTAGCTGAAAACAGCAAACATTAATTTACTCAGTTTCTGAGGGTCAGGCATCCTGGAGCAGGTTAGCCGGGTGCCTCTGGCTCAAGGGCTCTCCTGGAATTGTAGTTAAGCTGTTGGCCAGGGCCACAGTCATTTCAAGACATGAGTAGGGTGGAGTGATCTGCTTCCAAGCTCACTCATGAGCTAGTTGGCAGGCTTCAGTTCCTTGAGGGCTGTCAGACCAGGGGTCTTACTTTTGCCACACAATGTGATGTGAGCCACTCCATGGGGCTGCTCATGACATTGCCTTGCTTCCACCAAGTTGAGTGGCCCAAGAGAGAGGCAGAGGCAGAGACAGAAAGAGAGCAAGACAGAGAGACAGAGACAGAAAGACAGAGCCAGAAGCAAGTCTTGTTATAACCTAATATCAGGTAGAAGTGACAATCCCACCACTTCTTTCATATTTTATTTGTTAGATGAGAGTCAATAAATCCAGTCCATGTTTAAGGGGAGGAGATTACACAAGTGCATGACTGCCAGGAACAGGGATCACGGGAGTCATCTCAGAAACTGCCTAACAATGAGGAATCAAATGTTTATATGATAACAAACCATTTCCCCACAGATTACATACTAATTATTAAGGAGAACATGTGCCATTACAATGGAGAGATTTGACAGTTTACAAACTTAGCATCACTAATAGTGGAACTTCCTGATATGATACAGTATAAATTTCACAACATCACCTATGAAGTAGTCTTCCCAAATGTGTTTATTCTGAATCTTTAGACTTAATTTTACTTTATAATAATTTGAGGGGATGGATGAAAGTTACCAACGGCATGAGGAAGCAGCCAGACAAATCCAGAATGTAGGCCATTCTACAAAACAACCTTGCGGGACTCTTCAAAAAGTCAATGTCATGTGAAAAAAAAGGTTGGGGGCTTAATCCAAAAACTGAAGAGATACAACCAAACGCAATGTGTGAATCTTGGGTGGATCCTAGATTGGACAAAACTAACAAACAAAAATAGCTAAAAAAGACATTTTGGGGATAACTGAAGAAATTTTAATATGTAAAAGCAACTGATCATATTATACAATTTTATTATTATTATTATTATACAATTACATATGATAATAAAGTTATAGTTCTGTAGGAGAATGTCCTTAGGATATGCTGAAATATTTTGGAGTAGTGTTATGAGGTCTACAAATAACTTTTAAATAGTCCAACAACCACCACACGTGTGTGTGTGTTAGGTGTCCAGACAGAGGAAAAACAAATGTGGCAAAATGAATATATAATGTTGAATCTAGAGTATATAGTGCTCACTGAACTGTTTCTTTTTTGTGTGTGTGAGGAAGATTGGCCCTGGGCTAACATCCGTGCCTGTCTTCCTCTATTTTATATGGGACACTGCCACAGCATCGCTTGACAAGCGGTGCATCAATGCGCGCCTGGGATCCGAACCTGCGAACCCCAGGCCGCTGAAGCGGAGCGCACGCACTTAACCGCTGCGCCACTGGGCCAGCCCCTGAACTGTTTCTTAAAAATTGTTTTTAAAACTTTTCTGTGTGTTTGAAAATTTTCAAAATAAAAATTTGGGAAGAAATTTCTCTCTCCTCTTTACCTCCGAATTACTCCATTGGTCTTAACACTCTATTTTAGCTAATCTTTCCTGGCATATAGTTCCTCTCTGAGGAATGTCTAAAATAATAACCCCTTTCTTTTTTTAATCAAGAAACTTCCAGAGAACAATTACTAGATACATCATCCTACTTTGTATTTGAGTTGGTGATTTCTATTTTGGCTTCCTCACTCAACTGGAAGCTCTATGAGGTAAAGACGAGGTTTTATATATCACTGCACAAAACCAATTGCAGTGAATTACTCATATTACACCACATCTCTTGATGTTCATTAAGTTAAGCCAAAGAACAAGAAGAAACAGAAGGCAAGCAGAGAGTCTACTTTAAATACTGGCTTGCAGTTTATACAGTATAGAATTCATTCAGCTCTCAAAGAGCTCTACAATCTATATCCTAGAGATGCTCATTGTTATTCCTCACATACTTCACAATTCTTATTTACTTTTTATTTAAAAATAGCAGTTTAAGGCCTAAATTTAACATGATTAACAGTACTTTGTCTTTAAATAGGGGTTTACAAAGAAGTTTATAAATCTTATATCACTAAATTTTACCAGGTAGTAAAGTCCTTAAATAACAGATAAAAAATGTGTTTAAATTAATTTATAGATGGTTAAAAAAAAAAAAAAGGCATATAAAGAGAACAAGTGACCTGTCCTAAATCACCTAATTAATTCTCAATACTTTAGTTCTCTTTTCAACGACACATGCTTGTTTTCTACTTGAAGAGTTGTACTATACTTTACAGGAAACCTAAAATAAACTCTTAGGTCAAGAAATGTGATGATTCATTAAAAAATATATTTGTAAGTACTGTGTGTTTTTGGCTGTAGTTTATGAACATTCATAAAGATTTCCATGCCTCAGTCTGCTTCTTGATATGAGTCCATTTCATTTATATAATAATAAATAATAAATCAGCATTTATTTTGCTGATTTAAGGTTTTCATCCAAAAATTCAGTAATGGCTTCTTCGTCTGCTGACTGAAGTAGTGTCTGTATTAGCTGATCCAGGCACTTCTCCCCACATAAAAATTCCTGACAAAAGAGAGAGTGACTATGAAAACCTGATGACTAGAAATAAAGAAGAAACAAAGCAAAGAATTAAGTGTGTATTTATTTGGTTTCTTTACAGTCACTATCTAATAGCAACCAAGGATTACTAATGTGGTTCTACAATATAATGAACACATTTGCTAAGCTGGGAGGATACCCAGTTAGTATTGGCTTTTTATATAAAAAGTGAATCCAAAAGAGTAAATGGAATTCTACTACTCCTCTTAAATTGTTTAAATTAGCAACATGTTTAAAAATCAATCTTCTGAGATTTAGATCTTTCCAACAACTCTGGAGACAACAAAACAAAGAGATCTGAATCAACTTCTGAATTTACACTGCTCTCTCTTTAAAATTCCTTTGCTTGACTTTTCTGACAACACCATTTTAGGTTCTCAAACCATCTTTGGGAGGATATGTTTGCTGAATCCTTTCTCCTCTTTTACCCCCCCAAAATTAAGGGTTTTTATTCTTGCCCTGAAAATTCCACTCTTTTCCTTCATACCACATTATTTCCCAAGGGGAAAAAAGATTGAAATGCCTTAATGCCTAGGCATCTTGCTGCCATATTAATGTGCACACTGCTCCTTGCCATTCTCTCCTTGCCGAACCCTCTGGACCTGGCTCAGATAAAGCCTCCCCAGACCATTCTAGCTCACACTTATGCCAATCCTCCAAATTTACATTAAGTGGTTTATGATAGTTCTGTTTTTTTTTCTTAAATTGAAAATGCAGTGGTTTTAAAATCTAGAAGTCCTGCATACTGAAATATTTAGGGGACCAGTGTCTTGAAGTCTGCAACTGCTTTCAAATGGTTCAATAGCAACACAGGTGTACATATGGAGAGAAAGAAGAGATGGAGGTTGAAGAGAAGGCAAACGTAGCAAAATGTTATAGAAGTTCTGTATAACAGAGTTGTTGGGATTAGCGAATTAGCACAATTTCATATTTGAGAAATGCTCAAAATCTAGACAGTGGCTTAATGGAAATACTTTATAGCATTGGCATCTGGAACACAGAACATTTAAAGTTTTGATGTAGGCATAAAGTAATCTTATATTTAGTCTTTCTTGAATGGTCTTAAAGTTGAATTTTAGGTTAAGTGGACACATTTATCTCTCAAGTTAAACTGTAGGGGAGGGCCGGCTCCGTGGCTTAGCGGTTAAGTGCGCGCGCTCTGATGCTGGCGGCCCGGGTTCGGATCCCGGGAGCGCCCCGAGGCACCACTTCTCCGTCCAACGTGAGGCCGAGTCCCACGTACAGCAACTAGAAGGATGTGAACCTATGACATACAACTATCTACTGGGGCTTTGGGGGGAAAAAACTGAATAAATAAAATCTTTAAAAAAAAAAAAAAAAAAAAACTGTAGGGGAAAAGATATACCTTACTGTCTTTGTATTCCACAAAACACCAGCATATAGTAAAACCTCAGTTAAACTTTATTATTAAACTAAAAGCAAAAGCACTATGATGGAATTGGAAAATTAAGATTTATGCCACACTGAGCATAATATGAAAATTGATTATAAAATTAGAGTGCCTGGAGCTCAAATTATTATTGCCAACGTGATTTCATCATTTGGAAATTATGTAAAAAGGATTAGCATTCTTACTGATAATCACACGGAGAGTTCAACTGGATTAACCAGAGTGCTAGAGATACAAAGATCAAAGATCAATGAGTCTAGTTCCTAACTTTAAGAAGCTCATAATCTAGTAGGAGAGGCAGGCAAATATATAAGCATCACAATACAGTGCAAGAAATTAAAAAAATAAACAAGAAAGTGAGGGTTGTAAGGAGCCATTAATTTTGACAAGAAGGTAGCATCAGGAAAGAGTTTAGGAAGGAAGAAAAAATTTGGATTAGATCTTAAGAAGAGAATAGTATTTCTCCAAATGCAGTCATGCCTCACTTAATGACGGGAATACGTTCTGAGAAATGCCTCGCTAGGCGATTTCGTCCCTGTGCGAACATCATAGAGTACTTATACAAACCTAGACGGTAGGTATAGCCTACTACACACCTAGGCTATAGGGTATTAATCTTATGGCACCACCGTCATACATGCGATCCGTCACTGACTGAAATGTCCTTATGTGGCGCATGACTCTAGAGGCGGGCAGAACAGTCAAAACAATGAGTATGAAGAAAGGCATGGAAAGAAAGTACATCTAAAGCCCAGGGCAGGGGAAATTTCCAGTGTACTTGAACTATAGGGCAGGCGATAAGCTGATAAGGAATCTGCACAAGGACTTTGAGAAACAGAATAAAAATACAAAACAATATATTACATGGTAGCCTGTGCTCATCATCTAGACAAATAGAATAAAATAACCTACAAGAGAATGCATGGCAAGAATACTGGGTGATCTCACAGAACCCAGGGATAGGAATGTACAAGCTGCTGCCACCACCCTGGGAATGAAGCTGGGCCTCAGGAATAAATGAACGTGAGGATTCATATCACCAGGATTCTTTCCATCCAGTTCTCATTTTTGCTCCTTTCCTTATATCAGGTTGGCTGGAAACGTGGTTTCTAACCTTTTGTAAGCTTCACATATTTCAGCTCTTTCCTGTCCTTCAGATTTTAATGTTTTACTACAACATTTTTTTCATGCCATTTTCAAATTCTTTCCTTTCACTAATATAGAATGTTTTCTTTCTTTCCAGTAAGCTGGTTAGTGATTATTAGAGCATACCAATATAATTTTCCTTATTATTTCTGAGTCTGGCATGCTAGTTTAGTTAGTAATAACATGTTAGTATTTAGGCCAAATTAAGATATTTTTATTACTATTAAAGCTAGTTCGCCTGCCTCTGTTTCATGACTAAATACTATACTGAGCACCTATGCGCCCTTCTAAAAAATATTACTGGTCATAAGAATGTGGCTGTCTTAGGGAAACCACCACCACTACCAGAAAAACAACTGAAAGAATATGGTGCAATTAGAACAATACGGCCAAACATGCTTGGTTATTTCTGTGTGTTTCCTGAGGAAAGGGAAGTTAGCAAATATTTTCTTCTTTTCGACAAGGTTATTATGTTCCTATGCAAGACAACCTTAAATTGCCAAGAAGACAGAGGAAGTGGCATAAGATACACAGAAATTTCTAAATATATCCAAAACACAGACATTTCCCTTGCAAAATTAGGACTTTAATTTTGAATATAGAATGGGACAGAATCAAGTGAAAGAAGCCCTAGGTATCTCAAGGCACCAAGGAAAAAAATCAAAACTTTCTGTCACCTGCCTTCTCCACATAGTCCTTTATGGGAACAAGTTCACCTTCCCGTTTGGTGGAAGCAAAAGGGAAATTTTTCTGTGCTTCACCATTAATGTATTAATGTCAGTGGTCTCGGCTAGACGAAACTTAGTTAGGTTAACTTTCAAACCATCTTGACAGGGTCTTTTCCAATACAGCGTAAGTGTTAACACCTGAATCTAATCAACACACACTGTGGTAGGCAGAATTCTAAGATGCCCCCTGGTGTACACACCTTGTGTAATTCCCTCCCTTAAGTGCAGGCAGAAGCTGCAAATATGATGGAATATCACTCCAGTGATCAGGTGACTAATCAGTTGACAGTGAGTTAATCAAAAGGAATAGTATCCAAGTGGGCCTGGCCTAAACAGATGGGTCCTTAAAAAGACCTGAGCCATTCCTGCAAGAGATTCAAAATGGGAGAGAGCACATGGAAGGGCCCATGTAGCAAGCAACTGCAAGCAGTCTTTAGGAGCAGACAGCAGAGAACTCAGCTCTTTCGTACCTGGATTTATGACCTACAGTACCTATGAGATAACAAATAGGTATTATTTTAAGCCACTATATTTGTTGTAATTTGTTACATAGCACTACCAAACTGATACACATGTATATATGTATACTGACTATCTTGTGGGGTTTTTTTTGTGTGTGTGTGAGGAAGATCAGCCCTGAGCTAACATCCACGCCAATCCTCCTCTTTTTGCCGAGGAAGACTGGCCCTGAGCTAACATCTGTGCTAATCCTCCTCCACTTTATGTGAGACGCCGCCACAGCATGGTCTGACAAGTGGTGCGTCGGTGTGCGCCTGGGATCTGAACCCGGACCGCCAGCAGCAGAGTGCGCTCACTTAACCGCTACGCCATGGGGCTGGCCCCTGAATATGTGTTAATACGTTGCGATTGTATAACAAAGAATTTGGAATTTAAAAGATAACTGCCTCCAACTGGCATAAAGACCATATTTCTTGCCAGCAAACTAATACAAACGTTTGCAAATTTTAGGGCATCAACTAACATAAACTGGCTTAATGATTTTAAATTACTTGGCAATATTTTAGACATAACTCTCTAGAATTTGACTATACTTTCTTCAAAAATCAAAAGTCATAAAGCATACTCAGTAATATTACCTTAATATCACGAACTTCATATGCTATCCTGTGGTCAGTGACTCTATCCTGGGTGAAATTATATGTCCGAATTCTCTCTGATTGGGCTCTTGTTCCTACCTGTGCCATAACAAAAAGCAATTCATATTTTAACTTTATAATTACCTTTATTACAATGGAAAAAGTACTTGTAAATGACTTTTCTATTTCAACATTTTAAATATTTTCTAAAAGTCACATACAAAGTGACAAGGAACAAGAATGGGCAGAACTTAATGTTTGAGTCTACAGGTTTGTAAAGCTTTGTTATGGAATAAGAATTAATGTCTCTTTGGTTCTTCAAACCCCAAATACTTAAAACCAAATTATCTTTCCACCCCAATTAGTTCTTCCTCCTGGTTTCTATAAATGACACTACCATGTTCCCTTTGATCCAAGAAGGAAACTCGGACATCCTGCAATTTAATAAACATTTCATGGGAGCTTACTAACTTCCAGGCTTTGACATAGACACTGAAGGAGAAACCACCTCCCTGTCTCTAACAGCCCACTCCTAGTGGTTTCAAGGGTCTCTTATTATATCCTGCCCTTTCCATTGCTACCATCTATCATTCACAGGCTCATTAGTTTCACCTACATTCCTGTAAAAAATCTCCTGATTAATCTTACATTTCTCTGCTTACCTTGTGTTGCTCTGCTTAGTTTTCTTATAACAGTTTTATGATTAATTTTATTCTTTGGTTCCTTCTTGTCTACCAAGCAGACACCACTCAACTCAGTATTCAAGGCATTTCATAATGTGGCCAATTTTCCCAATGCTATTTCTGAAAATTATGTGAACTTCTATAATGCCACTTATTATATTATATCATTATTGTGAGTGTGTCTGTTAACTCTGCTAAAACATCATCTCAAGGGATACCCTTCCCTCACACTCTCTTACCATCTCTGCCTTTCCTGGTCCCAACAATTGAAGTATGTTATCTTCCTCCTTTGAAACCCCCTGCACTGGGAATCTGCTTCACAGCACACCACAGTTTGCCTTATGCTATGGTTACTTGCATTCTTCTTAGACTGCTCATCTCCTCTACCTCCCCAGCACACGATACACACAACACCCTCTCTCGCTTTCACTTTTTAAGATAAAAAGACATTCCCATAACTTATTTTCTTAACCTTTAAAACAAATGATATGAAACTAAACTCCTAAAGATGTCTGATCATCAGGAGAATTTTTAAAAATTAAAGATTCCAAACCCCAACCTCAGATACACTGAATCAGGGATTAGGTATTTTTAGAACATTCCCCAGGCCATCCATTCTGCAACCAGCCAGGTTTGGAAACTACTATCCCAAAGCACCATATTAATGCCCAGAACCCCACCCAGATCAATTACACCAGAATCCCTAAGGGTGGGGCCTAGGCATCTACAAAGCTCTTCAGGTGATACGGGGAGCCAGGGTTGAGAACCTGGCAGAATGCCTTCCATATAAACACTAGTGTATGTATTAGCTGAAGAAAAACTTCTAGCATTAGAAATATCCACAGAAAAATTTCTCACAGATGGACAAGTTAACTGGGAGGCATGGAGGTCTTTTCTGCTCCTCAAGCCAGACTACTGAAGATCGACACACAATTTGCATAAGGCCAATCTTGAATACTTATTTTAAAAATTACCATGTGAAACATCTGGTGCCAAAACACCAAATGGCACGTAAATCCCAATGCCCTTTATTAAATCAAATGTGGCAGAGTTACATAATGTTTATGTTCTCACTTACTTGCCAAGAAGTAATGGTTTGTAAATGAGCATTCCTATCTGCAAATGTATATACTGACGCTGTCCACAGTCTGGGATTACCACAAATAGAGGATTAATATATTACTTCTCCTGTCACTTTTACTACTTGCAGGTTAGAATGTGCATAAGGGAAACTAGAAGGGCAAAAGTGTGAAAAGACTAGGACATCCAGGCAAAAAGAATAATTAATGCTTAGTTTTGTACAATTCATTATCCCAAAAGGCCACAAAATCTTACAGGTTTACTGTAGAATACCTATCTGCAAATAACACAAAATCACAGTTATTTTCAGGTTCCACTTTCTCTTCCAACCTCTCTCAGAGACAAATCCTATTTTTAGAATTTAAAATTATACAACACTTTGTTTACTTAAAACAATAATGCATTCATTTTGCTTAGAACTTATCTACTTATATATTTGCATAAATAATACTATACATGTATATCATACAAAATTCAAAAAGTACAAAAGGGTATATTGTGAAAACTGAATCTCTCTTCTATCCCTTGTCCCCAGACTCCATCAGCAGCAATCACCGTTACCAGTTTTTTGAGGTGCCATTTATTTTTGATCCCACATAGAATTATAATAAAAACATAGGTTTTTAAATTTAAAAATCTGAAAATCTCTTAATTTCCAGAGGATTAGTTTGTCTTTTAAACCAATCTCCTCTCAATACAGTTGTAATATAAACACTGGAGGGAAACAACTGGGAAATAATTTTTATTTTACTCATATCTCATCTACTTGTATGCAAATTGGCATGTTCAAGTTTAGCCATAATCCGTCAGTCTATATGCATTTAAATGATTGTTTATTTACAAACAAGCATGTTTTCCTATGCTCTAAGATATTTCCATTCAATCAAGAATAAATACTACATTTTCTACATAAAATGATGACTTTTTGTACAGAGGTGTTAAATGATTATACCAAATAAATCTTACCTGCAGTTTTCTAGCACTTTGTTGTTGACACTTGTCTTTCTCAATAATCTGCTGGTACAGTCTAGCTCTCAACACTCGCAAAGCTATTTCTTTATTTTTTATCTGTGATCGTTCTTGTTGGCATTCCACTACAAGCCCTGAAAAGTAACAGAGATTAGAGGTAAACTGCAGCCTCCACAAGCCAAATTAAGATGGAACTGAGGAACATATTTTGATTAACTGAGGAAAGGTTAATCAGGAAAAGATCACAAAGGATTAAAAACATTTTAGATTTAGCACACTTCAGAAACTATATCTGGGTTATGATGGTAATAGCAGTAGATGGTTATAAACATTCTGACATCTGAATGAGAAATTTCAGAAGACTGAAAGCAGCCACACCTGCAGATGGTTACACATACTTTCCTTCCCAGAGCTCCGCCTCTCCATCCTACGCTAGACACTTTCACAGCTCAACAAAAAGCAAACTACTGCCACCAGCTGTGCAGCGCTGCTCCATTCTCTGTTTTACTCAAGGAGGACTCAGCCTTTGCCCTTTAAGTCACACGGAGCTGATGATTCAAAAATGACTTAATATATAGAAAGCAATGAAAAGAAACTACTCAAACTCTGTTGCCAATCCTCCTCTTTTTGCTGAGGAAGATTGGCCTTGGGCTAACATCCGTGCCCATCTGCCTCTATTTTATGTGGGATGCCTGCCACAGCATGGCTTGATAAGCGGTGCACAGGTCCACACCCGGGATCCGGGCCCGTGAACCCCAGGCTGCCAAAGTGGAGTGCGAACTTAACCACTACGCCACCAGGCCGGCCCCTCAAACTCTTTAAAAGGAAGAGTTTATAGTGAATGTTTCTCAGTTGTCTTGGTTCTAAACCCAGCTAATCAACACATCCAACCACATATGTTTGGCCAGCCAACTTCTGGATTTCGGTGGGTTTGGCCCACTGTGCAGCCCACTTACCAGCCCAAATCTAGCCCTGACATGGTGACCCTTGATTTCAGATGTGTTCTTAACTTTGCAGCTACCACTCTGAAGGTCTGAGTCCAAACCTGCTCCCAGGTACACTAGAGGTGAAAGGTACTTTTCTTTCTGAATCACAAAAACCAAAAACCCGATGAGCTTAGGCCAGCTGCACTGATATGGTGGTAACTATTTCACTGGAGATTTAAAAAACTTCTATAAAATTCTACTCTCCAAATTATGTTTTCTCCCTGACTTAATAAGCTACAATCTACATGTGCTAATACTTTTAGTAGGGCATCTAGGTTTTACCTCTATGAGTTTAAACTTATTGCTTGACTGCTTTACTGCAGCCACATGTTTGGGCTGGGGCACCAACTTGCTCCCATCTTCCAAGCATTTGCCTGGAGCTCTCTTGAATCTGGTATCCTTTTTTCACCACCCAAAAGAATATGAAAATTTCCATTTCAAGATGGCCAGACATTCATAAGCTTTGTTTCAAATTCCTCTTCTTGTCAGCTGACCCACAGTGAATTTTGCCTATACACCTGCATTATTCTTATCCAGTGGCTCAAGTCAGAAATTTTAGCTTATAACTCTTACTTACCAGCTCAGTAATTCCTAAGGGAATCACTTGATTATATATTTTACCACACTTCCTATAGGGGAGTATTTAATCATAAGTACTCCCTTAGACATAGAGGATTTGGGGGAAAAAGAGTATGTTGAATAACAGAAGAGCTGTTGAAATAAGAAGGTGCTGGTATTGTTTAAAAAACTATAAAAGGACTTTGGGAAAAAAAGTTTTCTCAGTGTTATTTCAATACACTACAGGAGATTCCAAAATTCTAAGTAGCAATGGGACCAAGTGGGCATTTAATATATATTTGCTGAATAACTAAATATATTATTTAAAAAATTTGCAGTTATAAATGAGAAGAAAAATATCATATTTTTATTCTAAAAAGCCCATTTAAAAAAAAGTTTAACATCTCTGAAATTGGGATACATCTTACCATCATTGGACTGTCATAGCTTAATTGGCAGTGCTTTTTTATTCCTTCATAGTAATAAAATAGTGATGTCTTTCAATTGATGCATTCTTAGGTTAAGGTTAGATGAAATAAGTTACATATAATCAAAGCCTAAATAAAAAGCCTTTAACCTTAAAAGGGCAAACTGATGTAAAAGATTAAATCTGGGGCCGGCCCCGTGGCTTAGCGGTTAAGTGCGCGAGCTCTGCTACTGGCGGCCCGGATTCAGATCCCGGGCGCGCACCAACGCACCGCTTCTCCGGCCATGCTGAGGCCACGTCCCACATACAGCAACTGGAAGGATGTGCAGCTATGACATACAACTGTCGACTGGGGATTTGGGGGAAACATAAAGAAATAAATAGAATTATTTAAAAAAAAAAAGAATTTTTAAAGGCTAATTATACTCTTACT